TTAATGTCCACACTTCTTTAAGTCACCTTATCGCATTTCTTTTTATCTAGCCTTAAAAAAACTTTTAAATTTAAATAATATATATCATTTACGCAAAGTCTTATTCAGTTTATAATTGTAACATTTTTACCAACGCGTATAAACTCGGGCACTTACAACTATTCCTAATATTGTATAAAAAAAAAAATTGCTACAAAAATAAAAGAAAAAAAATCAGTGTAAAATCTCCAAAGAAATGAATTAAGGGGGCCGACTGGGGTTTTATTGTGTGAAAACTACTATACAGAAACTCTTTAATTTTATACCATATGTACCTTTCATTGACTTCAGTATACATGCCAAGTTAAGTGAAAATCTACCGTCTGGTTATTTTTTAGGGACCATCTCAAAATACAGGTACATTTACTATAGGATTATATAGGAAAATACCATTTTTTCGCACTTCGGAGCAAATTATACAAATGCTACTATAGACTTTTTACTCAAATTATATTATTTGATGGGTAATACTATATTGTACATTTCATGCAAGAAACACAAAATTCTACCGTCTGGTTTCCAGAGGAGACATCTCAAAATGTCAAAATTCATGATATTTTCCTGTTTTTATGGAGTACAACAAAACATGACAGATATTACAGATTTACATAAAAAATGAAAAAAATGATTGTGATATTCTCAATTTCCTATGTTTAAAATTTCAAGAGCATGTATTTTATACTTTTTATTTTATGACATGATTCAGGACACCGTTTAAAGAACTTCGGTTATTCATAACGTCAAAAACACACTATTACGACGTCTATCTACCCATCATTTGAAAAATCGTTTAAAAATCAGTTATTTAAAAACGTAATTAGATTTTTTAATCTGAGATTTCCTAAATTTGTTATTTTTTTTTTATAAATTATGTAAAAATAGTTGCTTTAAAAGAGTAAATATACTTTATTTTACTATGCTGCGCGAAGTATTGTGCAATTAAAACCCAGTCGGCTCCCTTAAATTTCGTTTACACTTAAAAACGATTATTATCGGACTTGTGTATTTTGTAATTTTTTGTACATGAAAAACATGCTTTAATTGCTGAGTAGATACATTCGCGTTCGCGTACATCACAGTGTTTGGCACAAAAACAGTGCTTTTGTTTTACTCCTTACAATTAAGTTCTTTGTCTTTAAAGGTATATATTTCCAAGGTAGATATAGAACTACATTGTGTTAGTTTGATTCGAAATAATTGCACTGAATTATGAGGCTTAGTTATCCTTGGAATATCATGTTTTTTTTACCTTATGTCAAAGATCAAGCGCAAGCCCATGGCAGAGGTGTCTGAGAGGAACAAACGAAACTTTGCAAAGGAGACTGAAATCTACTGTGCGGACTTTTTTTAAAAATAATATTCGCCGAGTGAATAAATTAACAAATCTGTAAATTTGGAATTTATAATTTGTAAGACAAAATTATTGATGAATAGTATTTTTACCCATAAAACCAGTTTTATCGACTGCGTAACGCTGACTTAATGGTGACTTAAAAATGGTTTAAAGACATCTACTGTAAATGGAGTTTGGACATTAAGGACATATAAGTCTGGCTTAATGGTGACAATAAAATTGTCTAGAAGTTACAATTAAGCACCCATTAGCCATCTTTAAGCTATCATTAAACTATTTAATCACCAATTAAGGACTTTTAAGATGGCTTAATTGTAACTTGGTGATGGTGTATATATTACTTAAAGATAGCTTAAAGGTGCTTAAAAGTGACTTAAATACGACAGTTAAGCTGTCATTTAACGCCTATAAGCCGCCTTTAAGCCAAACTTAAAGGAAGTATTTCATCTGATCCTCGACGATTAAAAACGAAAGTAGAAAGAAAGGTACGTTTCTTTAATCTGTTAGCCGTATCGACGGTAGAGAGCACTAGACTAAGTGTTTTCATTGCAATGAGCTCTACGGTTTTTCAACTTTAAATGATGTGATTTTCAGCAATACAAAAAAATATAAGATAAAGGATTAATGTAGTAGGGGAAAAACAACTCAAAACTTTTTTTTTTCCTGAACTCCATTTTTATTGATTTCATAAGATAATATTTGGTAACCTAAGAGTGATTTTAACTATAGAATTTATCATCAGCAATAAGCTGGGTTTGCTATGAGCAAAATAAACTCGAAGAAAGACTTCTTATAAACATCTGAAAGTTTATTTTTATGCTTTTGAGATTATGTGTGTGTCCAATCAAATGTTAATTTGCATCTTCATTATACATAATCAATATTGCAATTGTTGTTTAAATTTCCACTATTTACAGGATCATCAATATAAGTATTATGTTGAGAGTCATCTGCTGATTGATATAAGGGATTATCTTTTAATCCGTCGTCTTCATCTTCTTCTTCCTTTATGTTATCTTCACCTATCTTTTCTAAATCTTTATGAGCGATCTCTTTCGGAACCGAATGTTGAACATTTTTGCTTGGACTAGATTTTCTAAAATTATATAAAATGTGCAACATAAACACTTCATAAATAATTACTTTAAAAAATGAATGAATAAATAATAAAATAAAAAATATATATCTGAAGAATTGATTAAATAGAACAGCCGGCCCATGGATAACATGACTCACCGGAGCACATTGGCTAGGAAGAAGCTTAAATTTACACTACCTCAGGATGTGTCCATATCAATATTACTAAACTTTGCTGTTCTTAAATAGAAGAATTTGAAGGATTCTTTCCCTATATATTCCTATGTAAAACTTTGATTGCTAATTGTGACCTCACCCTACCCACCGTGAATTTGCCTAAATTTGAGTCTACACTACCTGAAGATGCTTCTATAATAATATAAATAATCATGGCTTTGCTGTTCCCGAGAAGATGATTTTTTTCGAGATGGTTCCTTTATACTCTAATGCAAAACTTTAACCTGTTAACGTGTAAGTCCCTAGATTTTAATTGATAGATAAGAACCAGTTGTCTCAATCTTCTTCAGATTTACTACACCCAGAACTTAACAACAAATTCCTAGGATACTTGCCACTAGTGTTTATAACTTCTTTACTTTTATTTTGCTCTTGCCCTTAAGGTTTCCATACACTTTCCTCAAATGCCATCACATACATAATACTTTGATATTAATTTAAAGCATTTTGCAGTAAAAAAGGATTCATCAAGGTAAAGTTTCAAAAATGCAATTAACTAAGCAGTAATTAATTAACAAAGATTGCATTTAAGTCTATTGGGACAAGCATTTTTTTTTTTTATTGAATTCAAATAAAAAGAATATCAATCAATACTGTGGTTGAAAAATGCATTAAAATAAATTTGAAATATAATGACAATAGAAAACTTTTTTTAATTGATTTGTTTTATTAATAAGAAATACAGGGAGATAACTCTTACCAAATCCAAGGTCATAAATTAGGACACATCCCACCCTTACATGCTTATAGTAATAAATGAAAACTATGTCTAAATATATTGAGTATTCAACACCTATACATCTGTTTTGCATTGAATTTTATTGAATCATTTGCCGTTGGGGATGGAATGCCTTATTTCTTTATTGCTGATTCAACGTCCAATTTCTTCAGCTAGTTTTTAAAATACCTGACTTTTCCAAAGCTTTGTGTTATATACACTTTGGCTAGTCAATTCCAATGGTCGTTAGGTCATTCCTCTATTTGAAGTCTTCTATGCGTTTTACTCAAATGTCCCTTAACTATTACACCTATATATTCCTATGGAAATCTTGACCCACTGTGGTGGCCCCGCTCTACCTCCAGGGGTTATGATTTGAACAAACTTGAATCTAGACTACCCGAGGAAACTTCTGTATTAATATGACTAATAATGGCTTAGCTGTTCTTGAAAAGAAGATTTTCAAAAGATATTTCCTGAATATTCCTTTGGTAAACTTTGACCCCCCACCCCCGTTATGGCCTTGCCCTACCCACAGGGTTCATGATTGGAACAAACTTTAATCTGAGGATATTTCTATTATAATTTGACTAATCATGGCTTTGCTGTTCTCGAGAAGATTTTTTAAGATGGTTCCTATATATTCCTACGTAAATCTTTTACCCCCTCTTGCAGCCTTGTCCTACCCCCTGGGTATGATATGAACAAACATAATTCTAGAGTATGTAATGGAGCTTTCACATAAGTTTCATCTTTTCTTGCCCAGTGGTTTTTGAGAAGAAGATATTTAAAAGATACCACTAAATTTTCACGAATTATTAATTATCTTTCCTTGAAAGAAGGTGTGGCACTTTCTGTGAACAAACTTTAACACCCTTCATCCAAGGATGCTTTGTGGCAAGTTTAGTTGAAATTGGCCCAGTGGTTCTTGAGAAAAATCGAAATTGTGAAAAGTTTACAGACGACGGACGACAGACGGACGCAGGACACTCTTTGATCAGAAAAGCTTACTTGAGTCTTCGGCTCAGGTAAGCTGCAAAGTAATAAATTAAAGAATAACAGCTTAGTATTACATTTTATGCGGAATTGCTGTTAGGTAGATCAAACTGTATCTTTTTATAGCTGCTTTAATGAAATGCATTCTTACTTTTTATGAAGGACAAAAACAAAATAGACGAATCCTGAGATTAATATGATTCCTATTGCACCACATACAATTCCAATCAAAATCAAAGAGATTTCTAAATCTGAAGAAAAGGTTTAATCCAACAAAATCAAACCTTAGGATCAGAAAAGTAAAATGACACGCAACACTTATCATTTAGCAATTAGCAATTATATACGTACAAGAAATACCAATTTTAAATCTTTGAACAAATGACAAGCATGTATATCATTTTTTAAGTATAAATAAACCCTTTGAAATAATATTATTTGCAGATTAAAAGGCTAATTCACAGAAAAAAAGGTACAAGAGGTTTCTTTTTGTAATGTACACAAAAGCAGTATGTATTCTGCTTATTTACGCAGGAAGAAAGAGATTAGGAAAAAGTAATAAAATATTAATGCAAAGTACCTGCAGGTGAATCGTTTTCTTCTTGATCATCAAGTAGTGACTGACAAGACAATGCGTATGTATTTTGTTTGTCTGAAAAAGCATTTTACGTACAAGTGAAAGATAGGGGAAATAAAATGTGGAAAAATACAGGCATATTTGAATTTTCAAGGTGATACATATATGCATCACAGTCAAATTAGGTTGTTTACCAATTAAATGTTATGTCGGTTTCCTTGTTGAATATCACAATCACAACCCTCATTCATTGTAAATAGAAAACTTGTATGAAATTGACATTTTTCTACTATGTGTAACTTTTTGTAAATTAAATGTATTTGTTGCTCCGAAAATATTTACATGAAATAAAGATTTAATCATAAAACAGGTACATCTATGCTTTTTAGATCAAAAAGAAATAATAATACATAAAATAAAATAAGACAAAATTATAAAGTATCGTGTATTTTTAACATATTGATAGTAGTGTATATGTATAAGGGCTGTTTATAAATTATGGGGACTTTTAGTTTTACTTTTTGAAAGAGATAGATCAGTTCATGAAAATTCACCATATATCTTACAAAAATAGATAAATCAAATATTTAACATTTAGTAAATAGCATTTTTGATAGGTTCCGGTTAAGCCATAAAATTGCAATTTATAAATGGTCTGGAGCACCCAGCAGAGGTTATCGATACGTCATTTAAATTCCAGTGTTTGGATTTTGATTTCTCGCAAAAATTTATCGAGAAGCGTTAATTTTATCTCATAATTCGTCATCCTCACAAGGTCAAGGTTTTGTGATTTCGGAACTCCACACAAACCCTTGACATAAGTTGCTATTTAAAAGTTGGACTAGAAAGCTACTATTTCATTTGTTTCTGGTCTTGGACTGGAACCAATCAGAAAACAGCTTTTATTGTAGGTAAGTTTCGTAAATTAATATGATTCGTCTTTGAAATGGAAAGTGTCGATATTGTAGGATTTGTGACTAGTTACATTAAATGACACATCGGGGAATAATTTTTGGAAGATCGTCCTCCTAACAATCACAGAAGGTATGCTCTGGAGTTGGGCCATTTGAAAAAGACGGATTTGAAAAATATATTCTCATTTGTTAGTTTATAATTACCCATTACGTCATGTGTAACTACAAACCCAACTTTTAAACGGCGACTTGTGTCAAGGGTTTGTGTGGAGTTCCGAAATCACAAAAACTTGACGTTGTGAGGATAATAACTCGTTAGCATTCTAGAAACCTTTGTGTGTTATTGCTATTCCCTTGTCAAATTGCCATTAACTATTAAAAAACATAATTAGCATCCAGTAGTACTAACTTTTGCACTTATGTCGTTATTTTATCTGTTTTAAATGATGATCGACCAGCTCATTTACTTTCACTCAAGTTGAATAATTTGACAGAAAAATAAATCTTTATACAAACTCAGAAATATGTCCTTCGCTTGACATATGTCTTATCAGTTCCTTGGTCTGGACATGAGTTCTTAGTTCAGTACTAACATTTCATTTTGACGTTCGTAATCAGATATTTATACTGTACAGTCTGATGAATTTTCTATCATATCCGTATTTCTTAGTGAAGTTTAATCACACTTGCACAACATGAAATCAAAATATTACATGCATAACTTCCAACTAACTCTATCTCCAGCGGGACTTAGTGCTTACTAGTTACGAATTTTCTATTTTGTGACTACGCTTGGTATTCCTACCATTGGCACATCAAAATGCTGTCGCATGTTATGTAGCTTTATTAAAGATGTAAATAAATCTAAGAGAGGCCAATTTTTTTTTTATTTATTATTAGCATTACAGTTCATGCATTTGACCGCAAAGAAAAAATGGCACCCATGGATAGCATAAGACGGCGAAAGAAACTGACGATCAACGAAAATATGGTTTCCTAGCCCTCAAATAAATAATTAGATTGAAATTATTAGAAATAAATTGTCATTTAATTAAGACGTGTTTCTAACAATCCTCAAAGAGAGATTAAAGTCTGACTTAACTGCAATTGTCTGTCTACACGATCCATTGTGGAATACAGATCCCGATGTATTATCATATAAGATTGTGCGGAAACTGAATATCCGATTTATTGCCATGGGATTTAAATATAAGTTTGTGTGGTAACTGAATATCATACAGTTTCAAAGTACAGCATCATGAGCTCATAAACATGTAAAAATATAATTTCAAAAAATTCTCCTCTTAAAATTAAAAAGTCATAAGTTGAATTAAACTGTACCGACGGGGTATTTTTTTTTTTTTTTTTTTTTTTTTTTTTTTTTTTTGCAAAGAAGGTCAAAGGTCAGAGTCAAGTAAATTGTAATGCTGGCATTTTTCTTAATGTCTTATGACAAACAGTACACATGCTTTATAGCATAGACTTAGCTCTTAAAAATGTCAAAAATATGCTGTATTTCGGCACTGCGAGGGTTGATCCAAAAGTTCGTGGAATTTCTTAATATTTTATTTATTTATTGGAAGAAGTGATTGAAAATTACAGATGGAGATATATACACTTGTTGATTTTTTTAAATAAAAAAAAATAATAAATCTTCATAATAGTAACGCTTTGGCAGTTGCCATGGAAACGGATGTTTGAAAATGCGGGGAGGGGGACATTTATTCGTTCATTATCATTTCAATACTCAATACTCAATGTGAGGAAATAACACGTTAAGTAGCATATGAAACGAAATGATGTCATTATGACGATTGCTTGACCTCTTATAAACCTTTTGTGTGAAAGTTTTATCGATTTTACTGAATATTTTGTTTTTATATTGATGATTTGTTGTTTATCATGACATCGTTAAAGGACGTCGAAGTTCGGTTAGGTAACAAGTTTTGTGAAAATCTTGGGAACGCTCATTCTTAATTACGACTTAATTAAACGCATATACTACTGATGCGGGCAGGACAAAAGTGCAGTAAGCCACTGGCTTTCCAGTGGCGTGAGAAATTTAAGGAAAACAGAACTTCCGTGGAGGATTATGAAGGGTGTGGCCGCCTATTGGAAGATAGTTTTTTTTTTCTTCGTAGACAAATTGGGTGCGTTAATGGACGTGGACCGCCAATGTACTGTAGTGACATTGCTACTGAAATAGGAACATCATATGGAACGATTGGGCGTATTTTGAAAAATGATCGTAATAAAAAGAAAGTGGGTGGGATATGGGTACCCATGCTTTTCTCGAGAGCAGAAATGGAGAAAAGAATGCAGCGTTTTGTAGAATTTCCACGTCGATTTGAACGAAAGGGTGCGATGCTCCTACAACGTGACGTGACATACCTTATGACGTTACATCGAAGTCTCCCCCGAATTTTACAACTGTCCATGTTAAGAAGGCTCCTGTGACCTTAATGGTAATTGGAACTTGGTGAAATTTTCCAGTATTATTGCATAATTGCTCTATTTCATATTGTTTGCATTAATCACATCACGACAAAATTTTAAAAAGAAATTCCACGAACGTTTGGATCAACACTCGTATGAACTATTTTTGAAAGTAGGTCAAAGGTCAAGGGTCACGAGGTTTATAACCATGGTAATTTACAAAAGCCATTGTGCCAAGCAAAACATTTGCAAAATATCAAATCCATACCTCTTACAGTTCTCGAGATAAAGAGTTTGACAAACGGACATACAGACAGCTAGACAGACGCTGGGTAAAGTGATCCCTTAGTGTCGCTCTGCTCGGCAGGCGACACAAAAATGACAAAACAAGTTTTACATCAGCTGCAAAACAATAAATTATGTTAAAAGATAGACGCGTCTTTTTTAAGCAACCCTGTCATTGGCATATTGAAGTGTGTACATCTATAAGTTTTTTTCCCTACTTGTAATCCAATCTTATTTTTTATCTTACTCATGTTTCAAACAAGGTAAATGAATAATAGTTCATATCTTTACCTTACCTTCACTAGAAATATTGAGACAGTAGAAAAATTGATTCCTCTCTGATGTTTTAATTTTTGAGACATTCAACAGACGTATAGAAAAAACATCACCATTCCCTTGCGTTTGCAGAATTGTATTTGTGTCATCGCAGTTTAAAGAATGGCGAACTTCGGAATCCTGTGATGTTATATATTTTTGTATTTCAATGTTGGTAAAACAATTTCGAGGATTTGGGATAGAAAGAAGCCTTAAATGGATGCGTCCATTTTGAGAAGAAGTCAATAGACAAGAACAGTTTGTTTGAAGATTTTCCGTGTGAAAATCTAAAAATGCAGCAGATGTATCAGTGATATTCTCTCCACAGTTTTTGATGATTTCTGGAATGGTAAATGTGTTATATAAAATTAACACAGTACATTAATGTACTTCTTATTTTTACAGCATACAGATTGTGTGAATATGCATTTTCAACATATTTACCATATTCTTTAGCGCTTCCACATATTTGACCTAAAATAAATTTTGAAAAAATGCTTAAATACCATCCATTACAATCATATAAAGTTTTAACTCGTAAACTATGTTAAAGTAAAAACATCGCGGATACTCCAGAAATTATTTCGATGTTGCTGCCCTTGTGAAGTTTCAATATTTTTTTTTTTTTTGCAAATGTATGCTTAATTAAACAAGGAGATGTTATTCTATTCATAAAGCACAACACTATAAAAATGATTCAAAGTAATCAAGAGGGATAAGACTTTCGTACAAGTAATATAAGGTGATTAAACTCACATATATCTTTAGCTCGCATTTTAAAACTTGCAATAAAAAAATGTGAAGAGGATCTGACTGAGTGGTGCATTCAATTACAATTGTCTTGAAAAAGTCATTTTTAACATCGATACTTATCAATGAATTAATTTTACAAATAAACTCCGAAGGGCCTCTACCAAAGTCCTTACTTACTTCTCTAATAACACACATGGTACATGAATTATCCCCGTAAACTATATTAAGATAGCTCTTGCATAATAATTATAGTAAATTTAATAAAAAGTATACTAAAGAGTCGTGAAATAGCAAACAAGAGACTGCGGTGATAGACAATGTTGGCAAATCTAAGAAAATTTTGATAAACTTAAATCTAATAATCGTTAAGTAATTGATAAAACAGCATTAGTCAACTATTTTATCAAAGTTGAATCGAGTGTTATTTATAGAACTAATGCGTTGTGGTAAGTGATTAGTAAAACAAAATGTTCATATCCATTTTGTCAGTCCGATCCAAATATTGATTGAAATCATGCATCTTGTAACAATTTATAAACTATAGATAGTAAAATTATTTATATATAGAAAGACTATTGCTGAGTTGTGGTTATAAATCTTTTATCCCTGATAGAAATAGACATAGAGCATCATGGAAACGAACCCGAATTGCTATATCTTGATACAAATATATAAAAAAGTTGCTTAAAACTGCGTACATTTAAAGATAAAATACATGTATCAATTAAACAATATGTAATTCTTCCAATTAAGCAATTAAATAGTGCACATATCTCCAATCTACGTTATCACATTTTTGCTAAACAATTCACAAATGAAATTGAAAAAGTCAGGATTTTTCAAATAAAATTGGATTATTTTTTTTTTTCAATACATACATTATTTATAATAAGTACTTTGAATTTGGCCATACGTTTTAATTTGTTAAATATATAAGGTGTGTAAATTTAAAAGAAAAGGGGTATACATATATCCTCCTCTGCCCCAACAGTTACTACGGGAATTTGAACAAATGATAATTTGATGTATTTCATTTCTTGCTTTAAAATTCTCTGTCATTAACCGTCAAAATTTACTACTCTCATCAGTGGAAAATTTCTTCCCGTGCTTGAGCCGGATTTCATCTAGTTAAATGTATTTCCGTCAGCAATGAGTTATGTATGCTAAGTCACTCAAAATACATTGTACCATAAAAGCAGATCAGAAATTAAGATTAAAGATCACAATCTCTCTTTCCCAGTTTTTAATTTCTAAAAGTGTGAATGCTTCTAAGGATGAGGACAACATCTCATTGTTTTATACATGTATTTAATAACACTTATTGCATTAAATTAGTGAAAATATGTATACACTTATTTGTCAAAATAACCCGTAATGTAAAATGATTAAAATGATATTATTTTAACGTAATACATAGTTATGTTGCATCGTAACACGTAAGTTTTATGTATAAATCGCATCTATCTATATCTATATTCAAACATCAGATTGTACATTTCTTTATCAAATATCTAATGTATTGAGTTGAACAAATGAAAAGAAGCACGTACCATTAATTGTGCTCAAGGACCAGCAAAACACAAATAATAATGTTATTTTAACATTAGCCATGTTTATAAGACACAGTCATTATTCTTATCATGTATTTAGTCATCGTAGGGATCGAAGGAAATGTACATTTTATCACAATGACTTTAATATGTTGTCTCCTTAAACAACACTCTAACCCTCTTACTGGTTTCCTTCTTTAACGGTTTTGACAAATCTAGGTGTTTCAAAGATGACTAAAATGTATAACACCGGTCTTTGCTGGCAGGGACGGATGACATGAAATATCATGAAATATGCTCACATATGTTCGTTTTGGAATAATATATACAGGAGAGCTACTTTAGGTCTATCCATCGTATATCGTAATATAACATGTACATATCATTGCCCTAGGAACCCGGGGGGGGGGGGGGCACCGGGGGCGTGCCCTAAATAATTTTGCCGATATATAGAATACTATAGAAAACAAAGTGACCGTAGCTTGTGCTGCCCCTCGAAAAAATTATCTGATGACCCTCTTTTTTTTTTTTTTTTTTTTTTTTTTTTTTGCTTGTCAAGGAGTATTTGGAAGTTGATAGTGCTTCTCCCCCCAACTGAAAATGTATGTTTGTGCACCCCCCTCCCCCCTTCAACTGACATGGCTCTCACGGACCTGTATATTACATGTACTGTAGATATGATACAAATATCCCAGTCATGTAAATGATTTGATATGACTCCAAGATTTTGTCGTTTTCAAATGCGTGTCAATTGAGATAAAATAAATTAAAAGGGGGGAAGAAGAAAATCTTTACTGGTTTTTGAAATGGATTGTTTGACATATACTTAATTTATCTTGCTTTTTGTACTATGTATTCTAGTTCTCTATTGTTAAGTTTGTGTAATTTTGGAACCACACGGATAGCACATGCAATTAAAGTTTGTTCTCGTGATACTTTGTTAACTTTAGTTAAAATATAATGAAAAAAAAAATGAGGTAAAGATTTTCATAATTTCAAATTAAAAAGTCATACTTGAAAAGATGCATTTTCAAGAGAGGTTGAAATTTTGAAGAATACATATAATATAGTCCAAGTTAATTCCACACACATCAGAATGTTCGAAGAACAAACTTATAACCGAAAAAAGCTACTTACAAACAAGATGATGATACCAGGGTATTTATTGTGTCCTCAAAAGTCAATGTTTTGCAAATTTTATGGTCGATAAAATGATATTGTTGGCAAATGCAATCGGGTCGTTAGATCGAATGTTGATTGTTGACTCTTAAGCATTTGTCAAACATCTGATATTGTTTGCCCTGCTCTGAATTTGTAATGCACAATGCACAATGAAGCATTAGATGATAACTACTCCTATGACGCTCTCGAGTTCACTTTCACAAAATTTTATAGGTTTGATAACAAGACTTTATTAGTAATGAAGGTTAAGGAATATTCAGAGGGCATTTATTTCAGTCAAACTGACTTTTTCCCCCAGCGCAAAGTACTTCGATTTCAAGAAAATGCCTTACACTGAACAACGAAGTAAATTTCATACTAAAGCTTTATTCTATAGTTCAATATGTAAAATACGCCAATGAACATGCACAGAGACAAATACAAAGACAATAAGATCAAAAATTTAAAAAGAAAAACATGAATAAAAAGAAAGGAAGAAATAAGAATTTGATGACATTCTTACTTGCAGGGGGCGTAAATTCCTCCACTTTGCATAATAATACAAACTAAGGTTATCTTTCTTTTGTAATGTTATCCATGTCACCAGCCGATATCAAATTGTTCATCATTGAAACACCACGGTCGACTTTGCATCCTTTCTCCACCAGAGATAGTTGCTCGAAAGCGTAAATAAAACCCACTACAAATAATTGTATGTTTATAAATATATGATTAAATTTATCTAAGATATGCTGGAAGAGAATGGTTTCTCTAATTTTTCTTGAGGTCTAATTGATCTTTGTTGAGTGTTATTTTTCTCAACCTGTAATTAAAATTTTACGATTAATTTAAAAAGATGATCATAAGGGAATATTGATAAGGAAAAGAGCCTTCTTATCATCTCTATATAGTTGGTCACCTACAATTCAAAACATTGTGAAATTGACTTTGTTCAGGAATAAGTTATTTAGAAGTATCACGCAAAAACACAGATGCATTACAAAAAAAGCACACGGGGTTAAATTTTGTCCATCTTTGTGTCTGTGGGCAGCACATGTCTTCAGGAGGGACTGTTTTACAAATATGACATTTATACATAATATGTAGCAATTGACTGTTCTCATCCCTATTCCAGACACCATAATTTTCTGCACCATAAATCAGAACAGCATAAATCTTTAAAGAAAAATGTATGAAAACAAAGATACATTCGAAATTGTCAACGTTTAGATCAATCATATATTTATTAAATCAATATAAATATAAAACATTTTGTTTTCACTCAAAAGAAAGGCAAATCCTCCCTAGTGATAAAAATTTAGAAATTTACAATTTTTTTTTCATAACTGTATTAAAAAATCTATACTTATAAATTAATAAATTTAGCAAATAAACTCCGAAACGGATGCACCAGAGTTTACTCCTCTAAGAATACACTAGATACAATATGATGTCCGTAAACTATATTTAAATTTCACTCGCATTGTAAATATCGTACATTAAATTAAAAGTCTACTTTTATTTTCTATAAACAGCCATGACATAGCAAAAACGTGAGTACGGTGGCGTTTCCGGTTGGCGGATCTAAGTTTCTGGCAATTTTCAATGAAACTGGCAACAATCACTCGTTTATTTATTTCATAAAACATCATCACTGAATTATTCAATCAGAACTTGATTTAAATGACATAAAAGAAATAAGTTGTGATAACCGATAAAAAAGGGAAATGTGAGAATTATTTTTGTCATTCACCGATCATAATATTGACGGAAGCTTCTAGAACATCATATAGCATCGAGCCCGATGATAAAAAGAAAAACGAGATAATTATAGCTGTAGGAACATAAGAAAAGCTTATGTGTGAATGGTCATTGAAATAATGGTAAATCATTGATAACACTATAAGTTGTGAATATAGTTATATATCGAAAGACTATTACATAATTATATGTAGTAGGTTTTCCTAATAAATTTATCGGTAAAATGTGTATTTATTCCTCACTGCTTACA